TCAGTGATATCTGTTGTCATAGTTTAACCTTATATATTCACTCTTTTACTTAACAGGCATTTTCACCAAGCAGTTATGTAAATAATTCTTCTTTTTTTTTTTTTTTTTTAAACTGGGCATCCATCTCAGGAACTTGTGCTTTCCAGGCTGGCTCTTGTGCCACTGAGCTATATTTCCAGCTTATAAATGTTTCCTATAAAGCAAATGATATGAATATTTATGGATAAATAAATATGAATATTAATGCATAAAATTGAATTGTGTCTTACTATTCTATAAATTTGTGGATTTAGCTTCTACAGTGTATGTTGAACTGACTAAAGAAAATCGATATTAAGCAGATACACTGTTTAAGAAAAATACAGATAATATTTTAGATTTATAGGTATATTATGGCCAAAGGAATTAAATTAAAATGTTATTCTTATTTGCACAACTGTATTGTGTGTACATTTTTATTAATGTGTTTATAATTTCTATTAAAAGTGTTAAAATATGAAATACCTGTGGTATAGACATAATGTTTTAATATTTACTAATGATTTAATATTTAGTGTATAAACCAGGGAATTTTTCTAACTTCATGCTAATGAACTGACCTATATAATAATTATTTAACAGAATTAAATAGTAAATACTATTGAAATTAACTCACTTATGATTAAAATAATTTTAAGTAATAATACCTTAAAATTTCAATATAAATATACCATATTTTGCTTCTTTTAAACATATGTATATACATATTATAGTAGTATATAGTTTTATGGAGTTGCTTATTTTTATATCACAATATTGATGAGTTGTACAACATAGCCGTTAAATATACATAAAATATATGAATATTTAATATAGTTGCACACATGCCTTTGAAGTTCTTCAAAATATACACATTCTGGTTTTTCACGAAAAATATGCAGTTAAAATATGCAGTTAAATGACTGAGAGCTAAAGCTCAATACTCTATGTTCATGTTTCTTACCCATGTTACATCTACATCCATTTTTTATACATGCATTTTCTATATAATTCGGTATCATAGAAATTTGAAGCATATCTTTAAGAAAGTAAAATGGCTGCTTTGAATTGCAAAGCAGGGTGGAGATCTGCAACAAAGCAGTGGAAATACAGAACTCTTCAGAGATTTTACCACTTGATGGCTGAGTAATGACATGCAAATTTAACTGCCACTGAGATTTTTCACCTGAGAATTAAGATGTATATTGCGCAACATTTTTGTTATTGGAAAGAAATAATACCTACCTCCTCCCACTATGCTAGCTTTCCATCACAGCTGTACCATTTCTATTAATGTTGAGTTTATATTACATTTTACTAAGGAAAGAAGTGTTTGTGAACAAAACTCTTTTGAAGTATAAAAACTCTGTATGAGATTGCTCAACTCTTGAATGTTGAATCATTCAGAACGTAGGTGTGTGAAACTGAATATATTTAGATAAATTATACAATTTTAAAGTGTTCAAATATTTTTAAAATATGTAAAAGATAGAAACACTCTAAAAATATTAGGAAACAAACATGTTAATTAGAAGAGCTGCATTCTATATAATAAGAATATTACATTTGTTACTGCAGTTCCTATAAGTAAAACTGTACTGATTTTGTGGCTGAGACTGTATCCTCAGCTCTGTAGTTAAAAGAATTGTAATCTATTCCAGGCTTGAGAATAAATGAAACTGGTTAAAATATACAATTTTGCAAGGAGTTTTGAAGCTTTTCATTTATATGAAGTTGATGGAAATAATAAAACTAGTAGCACTACAGTTTGAGGTAATAGTTCAATGTCTCTGCATATCTCAGCATGTTGAACAGTACCACTACCTTGCATTCTTGTTATTACAATGGAAAAATTAACTTCAATCTAATTCTCAAGGTGTTTTCACTTCCTCACAGGATTATGCTACCTCCCGGGGCAAAAAGAATTCACCTAATTGTAATTGTTGATGTTCTAACTACAATCTGAAAAGACATATCAAAATTTTGATGCTATAAATCTAATATTTTGGTATTTTCTTTCAAATCTATTCATATGTGTGTACATTGAAAATATATGATTGTCTATGCTTAATATAAACTCGAAATATGTTGAAGGGTTTTTTTTTAAAAGCAGATAATCCATTCTATAGATTACAACCGGAGACCCAGAGAGTAAATATTGCAATATTAATTAGTCCTTTTATCAGTAGTACAATTCTTTTATTTATATCAGATCCAGCACTGCTTTTTATATTATGGTGGGCATTAAGTTACTGTAATTCTTAACATATTTATTTGTAGGTACCATACAACTTCAAGCAATACTTTAGATATACAAAAGGAAATGTTTGCTAAGAGTCATGGAGAGCTGCTCAAATGTAATTCTACAAAAATGAACTAATGATTGTGTGTGTGAAAATGATCTGGAAAAAATAAAAATAAGTAAAAAGAATTACAAAACTCACTTAAAAACATTATGTTGAATTATATCTATGGCACTTCTAAATGCTGTCATTGATATACAATTTCAGCTTTTCCTAATTTGCAAGAGACTGAAAGTGCTTTCTAGCTGAAAGTTAACTATGGCTATTCCCTCTTCACTGCAAAAGATGAAAAAAAAAATCTTGCCCATGTTTGCATTATTGATCTACATCTTTTCCTGATACCAAAAGAAGAATCTCTTAAATGGTTCTTTTAGTACCTGTCATTTGAGATCTGGGAAATGCATATAGCCACTGACACACAAAGTATGTTATTTACACAACCTATGAGAGCCTAACGTAATAAAATAAATCAACTTAGCCAAACTTTTTATATTGCACTTATGAACCACACCTGAAATTCATCAAATGAAGTAACGCAGACAATATAAATCCTTCTGGATTCACAAGAGTACTAAAATCAATGCTAATTTCCACAGACCAAAAAGTAAACAGAATTGCATTATATTATCTTAAGTGATAATTAATATTAGACAGGTTGAGTAATTCTTAGCAGTACATTATAAACAAAAATTTAATTGGTGAGACCTCATAGAATTGCAAAACAATTACTATTTTTTACTGAGGTAAAAAAAAAAAAAAGTCAGGGTCCATTAAAACAATTCAGATGTGAAGAATATACTTAACTGTGGGCTTGATGGAAAAACCTCTAACCGTTTTTGTTTTCTCCCAAACCTCCCGCAAAATTCCAGGGTGGTATCATTGTATAGGAAATATTAGAGTAATATTTATTAAATGAATGGTTAATTAATGGTTAATTAATGGTTAATTTTTCATATGAGTACTTAAGAAGAGACCAACACTGCTTGAATATTTTATAATTTATTTAGGACATATTTTCCCTGAATTTTAACTGATAAATATTATGTAGAATGCTTAATTCTACACAATAGAAAGAACCAAAAATCACTTCAGCTAAATGTTAAGACATTAAGGAATATGGGAATGTAAGATGGACAGAAAACAGACTTTCTAAAAAAAGAAAGAAATGATTTGCACATAAATATTTGAACATGTTTAAGATCTTAAAACACCGAAAGAAAAATGAGGAAAATTAAATTTAACTATGATTAGATTTTTAAAAAGGTAATAGATTAGATACTTGTAAAAAGGTAACAGATTCCTACAGAAATGAAATTCCCCAAAAGCTGAGGTACTGAAATATGACTCTCTTGTTTACAAAGTACCTCCTTATATTGTAATATTTGTCTTATAAAAGAAAACATTACCTGAGTATTTTTACTTTCTTCTTTCTTAAATATGTTTTTTGATCATTTTTTGAGCATTCAAATTAATGTAGAACCAATAAGAATTGTGAAAACTTTATTTCCAAAATAATTCTCAAAAACTGATCTAAATATACAAAATACATCACAACAGTATGCTACCTGCATAAAGACAAACTATAAACCAACAGGACAGAACAGAAACCAATAAATAAATCTATACATACATATATAGTTAATTGATCTTTGACCATTGTGCTGCTGTCCTCTATGTATGCTTCCTCGCCCACCCCCACCCCCACCCCCACCCCCACTCCCACTCCCACCCCCAGGGATTGAACTCATGACTTTGTACTTACAAAGCAGGCACTGAGCCACTGAGCTAAAACCCAGCCCCCTTTGGGTGTGCTTTGTCTTGCTAGTTTTCACATGTTGTAGGTTTATTCTTCTGCATGACATAAGGGGAGAGGTCTGGTGGCAGCTGCTTATGTAATTAAAAACAGTACCCTCAGTAGGAATTAAGGTAATCTCTATAGGACTCTACTCCATTTCTTTAGAAGTGAGTTGTTATAAAAGAGCAATTCTGTTGAATGACTGAGGCTTCTTCCATTGCCATATGTACTCTCCCATGTGAAATGCTTTCCCATGATGCCATTTGCCATGAAGTGATGTGACCATGGAGGGTCTCTCCAGAGATCAAAACAAAGGAGGGCTCCCTGATCTTAGAATTTCAGCCTTTAAAATTGTGAATAGGTAAAAACATTTCTTTTCTTTAAAAGATACCTATACTCAGGTGTTTTGTTACTGAACTGAAAAGCAAACTAATGTAGTTATTCAGCATAAATATTGTTGAAAACAATATCTTCAATCCATGATGCTTGGAAAGCTGGAATTTCACAAGCATAAGAATGAAAATATGGTTTACGTCATACAAAACTCAATGAAAATAGATGAAATATGTAAAGCGAAAACTGGAAAACTCTTAGAATAAACTATGGGTAACTTTTGTTATATTTAAGTTAGTTATAATTTTCTGAAAATGAAATAAAACTATAGGAACAAAAGCAAAAATAGACACATGTAATTATGTATGATTTGCTTCCTTGACTACACTTTCTGGAACTCTGTTCTTTCTTCTGGAATGTCTGCATGTGTTATGGTTTAAGAACTGATGGTCAACTTAACACCATCTGAATTAAATTAGAATGGTGCTGAGCATAGATATTTCACCTGAGGAAAGTTGCCAGCATAAATACAGCTGTGGAGGAGAAGAGAGCCATTGTGGGCTCTTTTACATGTTGCTGTTTGAGCCACTGTTTCTCCTGGAGGAGCTCATCATGACTAACTTCCCCAGTGTGAGTTCGACCATTGTCGTCAGAGGAGGTTGGGACCTTGCTGGTGAGAGTGGCTGTGGTTCACTTTGAGGGAGCTCTAGTCCTCACATCTAGCATTGCTTCCTGGCTCAGGAAGGGACGATGTATTCATTTAATCTCCAGACAAAATCATCACGTTGGCTTCCTGGCATGTACTCTACTGTGCTTATCATTGGAGGAGCTTGAGGCCTCCATGTTGCTGAGGATGGCTGTGGTGCTTTTCAGTCCAGCTCTAGTCTTTGTTGTGAGCATGACTTCTGAGCTCCACTGTAGAACCCTCAACCTACCAGCACAGCACAGCTCCTTCACCCCACTGGCATACACTTGCCAGCTTCCACCGCTGACATTTGGGCCTTTCCAGCATGGATCTCTAAAAGACACTGGCGTGAGTCCTTCTTGTAGGCTCTGGACCTCCAGTTGGACTTGTGAGAGGCATTGTCATGAGCTCTGGATCTTCATCTGGACTCATGTGGGACATTACTGTGGGATTCAGGTCCTTGACTAAATATTCTATGTCTCTAGTGTTGTGGATAGATTTCCTTCATTTTCTTGTGTTAACTCTGGGTGATCATCATAAAACAATATTATAAACTCGATGTCCTGATTCTAATTGCTATCTGTACAGCCCCTGACTACAACAGCATGCATGTATTGAACACTTGGTCATTCTCCATAAATCAGAAGGACTGCTTTGCTATTTTCTGTTTTGATTTTTCTGAACACCTTTTTAATGACTTGCCTGCAGGTTTGTGTCTTCTTTCTTGATCTAACTGGTAGTCTGCTGTTGAACCCACTAGTTAATTTTTCGATTCATTTATTGCATTCTTCAGCTTGATGTTCTCTATTCTCTACTTTAATTCTTTTCTATTAGAATTCTCTCCTTGTTCATGCATGGTTCATCTAAACTCGTTAAGCACTTTTCTAACCACTGTTTTGAATTTTGTCAGGTAAATTATACATCTCCATGGTGTTTAGTTCAGCACCTGGAGGTTTTTGTGGTTTATTTTTTTAGGAAAATAATTACTCTCTTAATTTTCCTTATTTCTCTGTGTTGGTATTTACGTATTAGACAAAGTAGCTGCCTTCTTTACTCTTCATAGACTGGAATTGTGCAGAAGTAGATCTCACTAATAGTCTGGCCTGGGATTCTGAGGAAGCCTCTCATGTTTTGTTTTAGGCCAAAGTACTTTCAATGTTCTTAGTGACCTCCAGCCATGTAGAGTATGGTTAGATCCTCTTATGGATTAAAAATTGGTGGTCAAATTAAGGTTTGCTGGATTACATCAGCATGGTGCTGAGTGTAGATATCCCACTTGAGGAAAGTTGCCAGCATAAATAGAGAGGTGGAAAAGGAAAAGGCAGCCATTAATACATTAATGCATTGTTGCATTGAGGTATTGTGCATTGTCCTACAAGTTGCTGTTTGAGTTGTTGGTTCTTCTGGAGAAGCTCTGGCCCTCACATCGAACATTGCTTCTCAGCTCTGGAGGGGAAGATGTGTGCTACTTGGTCTCCAGGATGAACTGTCATGCTGGCCTCCTGGCATATACTCTACTGTGCTTATTGTTGGAAGAGCTTGGAGCCTCCATGTTTCTGAGGATGGTTGCGGTGCTTTTTAGGACCACCATGGTCTTTGTTGTGAGTGTAACTTCTTGACTCCAGCATAGAACCCTCATCCCACCAACTGCTTCACCCCGCTGGCATAGACTTTCTGGCTCCCACCACTGATCTTTGGGCCTTCCTGGCATGGATCCATAAAAGAGACTGGCATGAGTCCTTCTTGTGGTCTCTGGACCTCCAGTTGTACTTATGAGAGGCTCTGTCATGAGCTCTGGGTCTTCATCTGGATTCATGTGGGACACAGAGCTGGGATTTAGGCCCTTGACTAAATATTCTGTTTTTGGTGTTGCAGATAGATTTCCTTATTTTCTTGTGTTAACTCCTGTTGACCATCATAAAAGTAATATCATAAACTCCATGTCCTGATTCTAATTGTTTCTGCACAAACCCTGACTACAATGGATCCCATGAGTGCTCAGAGATAGGTAAAACTGAAGCCAATTCCTCACACTGCTGTCAGATGAGTTGAGTTGTTGTCATATAGTGGAATGAGTTTGTGTTCTCTAAAATCAAAGAATAAATTTTAGGAACCATGGAGGTTAAGAATAGAATATATTTATTGAGAGAAAGCAAGCTTCTGTCTGAGAGAGACAGAAGAGGTCCTGAGTAGGTTGCCAAGCACATTGTCTTCTCCAGGAACTTTTATAGAGTAAAATTATGAGGTTAGATGGGTCAAAGTTGGGGAAAAATGGGAATTTGCAAGGTGGGCATAAGGTGAGACAGAACTGTGATCAACCGATAAGATTAATTGCTCAAGTAAAATTGATTAAATTAGGAGCAAACAGGGAGGGAGTCATGTAGAAGTGGGGATGCTCAACAGCAGTGACTCTCCCTGTAGGGTAGTGTTTCCTATAGGGAGTGGGGTGCTGACTCCTGACTTCCTCAGAATGATAGGGAATTTTTTTGTACTGTGGTTCCTTAGGATGTGGTTATATTTGCTCTGCCCTTTGTCTTGAGATCTGGCCCACAGCAGGAGGTGATTGTCTCTTCCAAGGCTGCAAGATATCTGGACCTCTGCTCTAGCTCCTTTGAGGACCCAGCCCTGTCTGATTGCCTATAATATTTCTAACTAACTCAGCTCCCTGTGACAGTTGGATCCATAACAAATCTCTTTCTCGCAAAGTAGAAACTGGGAGTTTTAGGTTTTCTTTTGTGTGTGCATGTGTGCATGTGCACATTTAATTTTATTGTAACAAAGCAACTTGTACATTTTGAACATTTAAAATTGCACATCACTTTTTCCTTTCCAGTGAAAATACAAAAAATATTTTAAAAATAAACCAACAAAGTTACAACAGAGAATGTCAATTCCAAATAAAAGTTTGATTCTGAAAGTTTGATTCTCCCATGGAGAGGCAGGGCTCAAGTCATCATTCGGAAATTATTTTGGGTTAAGTGGGCATTTGACAATATGGTTTCTCCTCTGTCATGTTTAATTGTGATGTTAACAGACATCCTTGCAGTTTGAGATGACATTTTAAAATAAAATTATCTCCTAAGAAGTTTTAAGTTTTCACCCATCTCCTCTATCCTGACCCTGTGAAAGAGTCTACACTGACAGCCATCCTAAACCAATATCTCTTTTCCATAAGGCCATGGGGAGGTAGTGTGACCTGGGTCCTCCATCTTTTCAGTGCTAGATAGATGCCAATCTATTAAAAGCCCTGGAAAAAAAGGCAGCATTTAAATTACTGAGGATCTCTTTCCCTCTCTGAAAAGCAGCTGAATTCTGGGGAAGGAGATTTTTGTCTTGATTGTATAGACCTCCCTTGTTACAGTAATTGGTAAGCAGCATCTCATGTTTCCTTACCATGAGTGGTGCAGCCAGTTCATACTCACTGGACATGCAAGCGCCTTTTAAATAGATTATGGGTTTCTTACCAATGAAATGGGCTGCAGTATTGTTCAATTAATTTGTGGGGAGAGGGATCTCATCCTGCCCTGTGGCGCTTGGTACTTTTATTTGCATATATTTTAAAAATTTGGAGCAATATTTTAAGATGAAAGGACAGTTTTCATAGTTTTACATATTTATAAAACAGAAAACAATATGCTTAGTTAGTTTTAACTTTATCAAAATACATATAGGTTACAATTCATATCTTACTATAATTCTTATACACAACAATCATATTATCTGCCCTTCTTATTCCTTAAAATGGACTAATTTTAATTATTTTTGTGTTTCTTATATTTTTAATATCCCCTTTATTTTTTCATAAAATATTATCCAATAATTTTTCTGCTATAAAAGATATGAATTTAATGCATTTTCAGAATCTAGACTACTTTTTATATCCTATCAACATAGTTCTATCCCAGTTTTTGCTTGAGTCAATAGTTATTTACTGAATTTTCTCTCTTGGGTTGTACATGTGTTCATTAGCATTCTTGGAGTTACTAATTACCTTGCTCTCATTTGCTTAATTTTCTATATGTCTGTAATTCATCCTCAAACAGTGATGGACTATAAAACACTTTACTTAATGGTTCAGTGGGTGAGATAACTTACTTGTTCAACATTATTTTGCCTCAGATATGAATGATGTGCTGAAGCTGACTCCAATCACCTCTCTTGAGTACTGAATGTACCTATCTCTTCCCACATCAATGTTCAGTCTTTATTCTTGTCCTTATACCTGTTAGGGCCACTAAGACCACACAAGTTAGCAAATGATCCAAATGGGGATTTTATTTTATGTTTTCCCAATGTTGCTGCTTGATAAGCATCCACCAGCCTATCACTGGGTATAGCGTTCCTCGAAACAGTGCCACCTGCTCTTGTGTCACTCACAATAAGTGGTAACAAATGGCCATCTTATCTTCCTCTTCTCAATACATCATTTTGCTCTCTTTTGTTTCCTGAATGTGTATATTTCTTCTCCATCAAACTTTTATCCTAGTAAAATTATTATGCAGTAACTTCTCAAGAAAGTATGCAAACTAGGTAAATGTTTTGAAAATATACATTATAAGGATTATTTTAGCTTTTCAAATGCTATTTTGGTTGGAATTAGAATAGTATTTGAAAAATTATGCCATTGTCTCAGTTACTTAATTTCTAAGAAGGTTAGCTATTCTTTTCTTTTCTTTTCTTTTCTTTTTTTGTTCCTTTTTATTGGTTCCAGGGATCAAACTCACAACTTCCTGCTTGCTAGGCAGGTACTTATGCCGCTGAGCTAAATCCTCAGCCCCAGCTATTATTTTCTTAAATGACATGATTTTTTTTCATTTTCATCATATGTCTAACACATTATCAGGATAATACTTGTGTTCTATTTTTACTTTAGAAGTAATGAATGTTTTCATGAGATATTGCTGTAGTGTATATATACTAAATTACACTAGACACTCATTAAATG